CCAGCTTTGCTGCAGGCTTGTGAAACAAAAATATGAATAATTATAATAAAATAATAATAAAACAGATACTCACAATTTCAACAAAGTACGAAAATCAGTAGAATAAATCACCACTCACAAGAGTTGAGAAATCTACTATGCTAATCATATACTGTTAGAAAATTCACTGAAATAGTAGTAGAAAACCATGTAGAGAGACATTACAACAGCGAACTCGAAAAATGATTATTCTCAACCTGACAGTTTTCAATTGATGCTCTATAAATTGCACAAGTTATTTTCCAATTATGCACATAGAATAACACCAGATTTTTCAATGGTAGAAAGTGAAAGACTTAGAGAAATTCTTCAGAGCAAAAAAAAACGAGCGTGTTTGAATTAATTAACTACTCTATTCCAAACCCAATACTGCATTCATTACTACTGTCCAAGATTCAGTAAGATATTCGTAGCCATTTGTTTTTTTTTGTAGCAGCGGGCCTGGCATGGCCAGGTGGTTAAGGCACTCGACTCGCAATCTGCGGGTCGCGGGTTCGAATCCCCATCACACCAAACATGCTCGCCCTTTTAGCTGTGGGGGCGTTATAATGTGACGGTCAATCCCACTATTTATTGGTAAAAGAGTAGCCCAAGAGTGTGCGGTGGGTGGTGATGACTAGCTGCCTTCCCTCTAGTCTTACACTGCTAAATTATGGACGGCTAGTGCAGATAGCCCTCGTGTAGCTTTGCGCGAAATTCAAAAACAAACAAACAAACTTTTGTAGTGGCTTGTAAAACTATAATGTATAATAATAAAAGAGCACATTTGTGTGACGGCCATAGCTCCAAGAGGAAAGAACTTAGAAATCTAAAATTTTGCACCCATACCAAGTGGACCCTGGGTATTATTACTTATTCACGTGTGTGTGCGCATGCACATCTTTTTGTGAGGCAAACTAGCGAAAAACCACATAGGAAAGAATATGTAACCACCATAGCTCCTAGAAGAAAGAACCTTGAAACCTGAAATTTGGCACCCATACTAAGTGGACCCCGAGGGTCTACACGTGGATATTATTACTTATCTTATCCACATGTGTGCACGCATGCACATGCACATATTTTTAATGAGGCAAGGTAGCAAAAACCACATAGAAAAGAAGTGGTTTCTTATACTATGAATATAAATCACAGACTGACAGATACGCATATCTGTGTGTATACATGCACATGTGTGAGTCTGTGTATGTGTGGCTGCCATAGCTCCAAGGCAAAGAACCCAGAAACCTCAAGTTTTGCACCCATACTAAGTGGACCCTGAGGGTTTGCATTTGGGTATTATTGTTTAGTGACATGCATGTTTCCTTTTTTGTCAGGCAAGCTAGTGAAAAACCACATAGAAAAGAAATATGACTGCCATAGCTCCAAGAAGAAAGAACCTATAAACCTGAAATTTTGCACCTTTACTGAGTGTACCCTGAGAGTGTGCACCTGGATATTATTACTTATCTTATCCATGTGTGTGCATGCATGCATATTTGTTTATGATAAAAAACACATAGAAAAGAAATGTGACCACCATAGCTTCAAAAGAAAAGAGCCTAGAAACCTGAAATTTGCATTCATACTAAGTGGACCTTGAGGGTGTGCATCTGGGTATTACTAATTATCTTATTCAGGTGCGTGCGTACATGCATGTGTATCTTTTCAATGAAGCAAGAAAAGTGGTTTTCGCTAGATTGCCTCTTTAAAAAGATAAGCACATGCATATGCATGCATGTGTCTTTCTGTGTGTTATTTATATCAATATACTATAATATAAGGAACCACTTCCTTTATTAGATTATTATGTCTGTCTGTGATTTCTTTGAGAAAACATCTAATAATGTATAACCTGAAGCACTGCAACAGTAAGAAAAATTAATAGATTCTGATAAAATATAAGTTTGTGATGCCAAATATAAATGCAAAATATTAATACAATGAATGTTCTTTGATAATAAATAATTCTTAATTTACTGTACTTTCTTTACGTTTTTAATGCTTCTGAAAAGGAATTTTTTAAAATATTTTTTACTGTTCTTCTATGCTGCAGTAGGTTCATAATACACACACTAACATAGTTATATATGAAACTGATATCCCGAGAGAAGCGGGGTACTTTCGCTAGTCAATAATAATAAGGCTGGAGACTCAGTTACAAATATACACATTGTTTACTCTAATAAAATGAAGCATTTCCTACTAGTATAACAGTGTTTAAATAGCTTCTACATTTCTGCAATGCCTGAATGACTTCGAAAAACTGATGTTGGTAGCAAAGAAGAACTTAGTTAATTTTGAAGGAAATCTTGACTTTCAAGAATCAACTTGAAGATAGCCCTACAACCTTCACAGGAGTTTGTTTACTAGATTTGCGTAGATTGTGGCGCACTATACCTAACGGTTTGTGCTATAGGCTTCAATGCTTAAATAGCATCGAGGAGAAACTTGGCCAGTAGCGATGAAAAACTGATAAAATCTCTCCTTCTCTTTCTAGAATAAACATAAAAACAGTCCTATTACTTGCACAAGAGTTTTTTTAGTTTGTCCAGGTTTGAATAAAATATTCACAGCCGTTTTTCAGTACGTTTGTGAAACAAGAATAATATGAACAATAATACTAAAAAGATGATTAATGATTGTTAATTTAAAAAGGGGAATAGGTATCGTCAAAAATTACAGAAACAAACTGAATGAAAATGCAAAGATCATATTTACTAGGGACTCTACAAAAAGTAAACAAACTAGGCTGGAAATAGTGTCTACATTATTTTCTCAAGCTACAAATTCCCATTTTGACTCCAGGTCTACAGTTATAATCAATTTTAGTGGAGTCAGTTTTCTAATTCTTGAAGATCCCTAACAGACCAGATAAAGAATGCAGTGTTAGCAATGCAATAGCTATAATACTAATATCTTATTATAACTATAGTAAATTTCACTGGTTTTCTAGATCACATGTAACATGTTCTGCCAATTACAAAGAAATAGACTAAATGGATAATTTTTTAAAATTCCTGTATTAATAAAAAATGATGTAAATCATATAATATGCTCACATATCACATACAGTAAGTAGATCATTTTAAAAGTGAATGAAAATTGATGCAACTGTAGAAAATCTCAAGTGTAATAAGATGCAAGAGAAAAGGTGGTGGCTAAAAGGTAAATTTAAGGTAAGATTACCATATTTTTGAACTTAACTGCGAGGACACAAAAAAAATTTACTCACCAAAAGAAATTCTGATGCTGGTTGTTTCTCTGATGACATTTCACTTTACCTCAAACCTTGTTCTGCGCTGTCTGACAGAAACGGAAACCGCCATACGTTACACGACATATAGTGCATGTAGTCCACGTTGTAGCTATGGTCACTGCAATCTACTATATAAAGCAAAGCGTGTGTCCCTGTAAAAAATACTCGGTTGTATATCCATCATTTCACGTCTATTCCTTATAGGTTTCCACTTTTCTTGATCAATCAGCCCCAAACTCAACACAGTGATACAGAATGACACGAAGAAGGTCATGGGGTGGACCCCCATCTAATTTCATATTGATACATTTCATGAAAACAGTATGTCTTTATTTTCAGTATTGATACCTTTATGTATTTTTATTGCACTTTTAATGTTTATTATGTTCAGGAAAAAAACAGAAGCACAATTTTCTATCCTTTGTTACAAACGAGTTCTATTTCACCCGTCCAATGGACGGGTACTCCAACTAATATGTATATATAATTCAGAATTTGATAGATGGTGATTTTCAACATAAATAATTATCTAATCTATATAAAAGCCAGTGTGTATCACGTCACGTCACACTTGATTTCTCGAAACAGGAGGAACCATAAAAGCCTAAATGTGTTTATCTTGATAGAATACTTCGAGTACTGTCTACCCATTACGATTTTAGTGATGGGAGTGCAAAGTGGCCGTGAAACGTTATAAATGTAATGAGTGTTGGTATGATAAACCTAAAGTTAAGAGGTAGTGTGGGGTCACCTAGCTTAGAGCCAAGTGCATAAAATTTATCACGAAAGTAAAAATATAGAATCAATTTTAAACTTAAATCATTTCTGAATTAAGCCATTTTCTATTATATCACCAACATTTTTAATAATAATAGAAAAAACCTCTTTTATCAACCGAGACTCTAAATTAAGAAATCAACAAAAAAATTTCAAGTTTTGTTGTCTATTTGGTTATGCTTTCGTTGCTAAGCAACATTAAAAAAACATTTTTGGAACGTAGTGTTACGAAAATGTAATAGCTTTTCTATGTATTAGAAGTTGTTATGCTAACTGATTTTTACCAATAAATATTCCATGAATACGACACAAATTCATTTCATGAATGATCTTAATTCTGATTGACTCACAAAGGAATTTACCGACTGCTCTTTTCTGCTTCTTTGTTGGTCAAGCTTGATTTCACAAAATTTATTTATTTCAATTACCTATGAAATGTGAGTTTAAGGTATACTATGGGGGTAGGGGTGGTAGACTGATAGTACTTCTTCCATAATTTTTGACGGGCTATATACTAGTAATAAAATAACTTTTAGAATGATTTTCGTGAATCGGGGACATTCTTTGGACGGGGACGTAGGGTCACTCAAATGAGACAGTCTTCAAAATATAGATAACCAGATTTATGGTTTTGTTGACTAGCGTGTTATATATAATATAGCAGAACTCTTTCAAAGTTAACGAACGTTATGAACGTATAGAAAGTTATATGATTAATGTTATAGAACAGGAGAGGTAGCGGCTAAATCTGTATCACTATTATTATATAACAATTAACATAGAGCTATAAATAATAAAAGAATAAAGTAGTAAAATGTGTTTGAGATATATTATTAAAGCATAAGGTAACACACAAGCAATTTTTGTTATTAGAAGAAAAAAAAAACATTTCTTTAGAAATAAAATATTTGAATTTCAATAGTCTGGTTTTGTTATTGAACAAGGAACGCACTTCTGTCGGATTTGGATTTTGTATTGCTTTTCTGATATTGAACCGATTTTATAATCTCAAAAACTACAATAAATTGATTACTTAAGTATAAAGTGTAATTTAATGTGTTTACGTCGTGAGTTAAAGTTTACTTGATTTATTGAAAGTCAAGAGACTTCTTATTAATTCTGTTCTACGATGAAAAAAGAATGCTGATTCTATGGAAAATGGATGTCTTCTCAATAAGTTTGTCGTTGACAGCAATTATGTTAACCCGTTCTTTTGAACAATATGGTGCCAGTGCTAGTGAAAATCATATGATTGCTACTGAAACACTAAAGTCAACTATGTTTTCTAATATAACTGTTGGCCAAAAGTCTTTATCATCACAAGAAGGTAAGTTATTTAGGTATAAATGTATATATATATATATCAAACAAATGTCTAGAACAGTAGAAGTAACGTGATGTATATTCCTATGATGTACTGATAATGATATCGATACTATAAATATAATATAATAATAGCATCATTACGACACTTGGATTTAATGTTATAAGAAATGTCAAATACACCAGAAACTTCAGACAGTTCAAGTTCAACCGAAAAAGTGATAATTGGAAATTAAAATGACAGCACAGTTTGTTTGAAATTAATAAAAGTAAAAATGGTTAAATGTCACTTCATTAGTTCATAAGTTTATTTAAATAAACCTAACAAACTTAATTTCTCTTTATGTTACTGTAAATTGTAATTTATAAGAATCTGGGCTCAAATGTTTGGTAATAATATTCTTGTGGGGCTAATTTGAGTGTTTTATCCTGTATTGTTAGTGTAATTATTTATAAATATGAATTGACAAGTGTTATAATTTGTATAATTATGTGTATAATTTTATGATTTAATATAATTGTTTCTAATTATTACAGATTTTTTTCTTGTGTATTAATTTATGATATTATAATTGATATTTACAGAGTTGGGTAATTAGTGGAATTTGCTAATTTAATTTAATAGTTGGCCTCATTAATTGATTACATTCAACTAATCAATATTTATCACATGACACTAATCTTCCTGTTTTCAGTTCTTTGTTTTGTAAGTTTTGGAGTACCATTCATTTAATGACAGATATCTTCAAATACAACAATTTAAGAATAACTCAATATGCTACTTTTTTATTCTTAATCTTAAATAGTTGGTGGTCCATTCTGCTAATTGCCCTCCCTTTTGGTTGGCAGTTAAAAAGTAGGGATGGTGGCAGATAGCCTTAGTAGCTTGCCATAACTATAAAGCAAAGAAACAAATATAATACCTCCACTAAAGCTGGATGACTTAATTGATTGAACTGCTGGGTAAAGGGAAGCACATGTTGTCAACTTTTTTTGTTTTGCTTGCATGTCCCATGGTTTGAGAAACACTAACTAATTAATGGGACTGTTGATTAATTGATTAGCAAGTACCACTAACTGACCAGTTCTAGCCTTCACCACTTAAGGGATGAGCATGTTTGTGGCAATTACCATTGAAATTACAACCTTTGAATCAAGAGGCACCACCTTAATCACTAGGCCATGCCAGACTTAGCTGAACAAACTTGAAGTAATAAAACAATAATGATAAATTGTAATGACAGTGTTTCAATAACTTGTGTGATTAATTGATTTAACTGTAATTTGGATTAATAGATTATTTTACATGATGCTAATCAATGTTCATAGGTCATAAGTTATATTGAGTAATTATACAGTACTGTGAGGTAGAAATTTCTATTTCATTTTTAGTTATTATTTTGTTTACTGTGTATGTATTTTTACTTCTATCAGTTGGTTCAGCTAATGGGAAAACCTTGCTTTACTATTAGTTTAACATTCTTTGAAGAGGTTACTGCTTATGTAGATGAGGGTATGGGAGTGAATGTGTTGTATCTGGATTTTCAGAAAGCATTTGACAAGCTGCCACATAAAAGGCTTGTTGAAAAGCTATCTCTGTAGGTTTGAGGGATAGGTTGGCTCATTGGGTAGAAAACTGGCCAGAGGGAAGAAAGCAGAGGGTTTTCGTGAATGAAGTTCAGTCAAGCTGGAGTGGGGTACTTCAGGGCTTAGTGTTAGGACCTTTGCCCTTTTTGATTTACATCAATGGCATAGGTAAAGGAATGGTCAATAGATTATTCAAATTTACTGACAACATTAAAGTTCTGGGTGTTGTTGGCTGAGAGGAGGATGCTATTGTCTTTACAAAAGGATTTGAGTTATTTGGTGAGTTGTGTGAATAAATGGCAGATGGCATAAATTATAATAAATGCAAGGTAATGTATATGGGTTACAATTGCACCAAATCTAGAGTCTTTTACTTCATACACTAATGAAGTTAAACACCTCCATCTGGGAGTAAATTTTTCAGTGTAATTATTTACTACAGAAAATCCAGGATGGGTCTTTAATGACATCGTATCATGTACTTTGTAAGTTACTGTGCTTTGCTTACAGTTTTAAACTCACTACTGACATTTTTGAGCTAATTCAAAATTCAATGGTGTTCCTTGCCATCTGATGAATTTGTTTTTATTCAATTTTTCACATTTTCACAACCTGAGGTTTAGCAGCAGTGTTGTAGTTGAGACCTCATTGTTGAACACCAAGACCTTATGGGTCAAGAACAAGACTGAGTAATAAATTACACAATGAAAAATAAAGCAAGAATTAAATATTATAGGAGACACTTTTTATATTAAAACACCAACATAAGGTTCTTCTAATGGTAATGAATGGATACTAAGTTCATGATTAATTATGTAAGACAAATGTTTAGTATTTAGTTATTTGACATGTAATTTCATGATCTGGCAAGAGAATAAAAAGCCTTAGGATTTAAAGTTAGACTAATGAGGTTGAGAGAAAGGCAAGAAAGGTGTTAGGATAGTGATATGTAAGGTATTTTATTTGTTCAAAGATGTTCTTGTATTTACTTGATCGACCTTGTATTTGTGAATAAAGTTGTTTATTTCAGAAATGTCTAATATTGTTATTATGAATAGTAATAAAAGTCAGATTTTTTCCTGGTTTGTTATTATGCTATCATTATTTTGTGATTTTGATATTAACGATGCTGCTTTTTTGTACTTGAGTTTCACTTGGAGATTGAGTCATTGTATTGTAGTTAATAAATATCCTTAATTTTCATACTCTGATGGTAACATTGTTATTTGGCATGCTATAGTGGTACCCAAACAAGGATAAGGAACCTTATCTGGTATGTTGAGATATCTTTGAATTGTTTGGTTGATTTTGGGTTTTCTCAAGTGAGTATTCTTGTAATAAATTAAATAATAGTAAGAAGTTAATTTAGTGAAAGCTGTTGAAAAGCCGTTATTAAATGAAAATGGAGATAAGTGAAGCTGATGTGTCAAGCTTGAAGCAGACCATTGCAGTTTTGGCGAAGCAAGTTCAAATGTTAACACACTGGGTAACAGACTTGTTGGCAAGAGATGTGACCTCTTAGCAGAACTATATTCTGTAAGCCATCCATCTACAATTGGATGCCATGAGGAAGTATCGCTTCTTTGTTACTACTACTGGGAAATTTATCACTAAGTCAGATCTCACTGTTAATGAATTTATTAAGAGCTTGGGAAGCCATTCTTACTTTACCACATAATTGAGAATAGATAGATGGATACTGCAGCCTCGCATTTGAGGGGAGGGCCATTATAATGGTGTAAATCACTAGTATCAGAAATGGTTTTCTAAAACTGGAAAGAATTTAAGAATTGCCTAAGCTGTATCTGGTTGTATTAAATAAAACTGAGTTGACCCAAGAACTTTCAGTAAAAAGTGCACTCCAAATACAGTGTCAAATGTTGAGGCATTTATTTGGAAATCTGTAAAATTATATAAGTTATGAACCCCTGAAGTTACAGAAAAAGACATAGCAAAGTGTTTGATATATCATTTACATGTTCCATTCAGGGAGTACTTGGAATTACATTATTCTGTTTCTATAGTGTTTAAAGTAAATGAAAATCACAGAAATATCAAAGAGGCCACTTACTTAAAAAGGGAACACAGAAATAATAGACAGCAGTCAGGAAATGAGGAGTGGTAACAAAAGAAGAGGCTTTGCCCTATTTAGCACTTAAAATTAACAATGTCGAGGTAGTGGAATGAATAGACACTGAATAGAGGAAAACATATGGCAACAAATTAAAAAAAACAATCCAGATCTTAACTTACTAGTATGGAATAAAAAAGAAATTTGCTTTTCTGATGGAATGACTAATTGTCAACCTTTAGGACATTTTATGGATAAACTTTCCATAAAAAATATTATAATCAGTTCTTGTTGTAAAAGATTTGGCAATATTCTATCTGATTGACTTGGATTTTATTTAACAAAAAAAAGTTAATATGGGGTTTCTGACAAATATCATTGAAATAAGTGTGTTTCTGCAGAATAACTTTAAAGAAACATTGATCAATGAAGTGCAGTAGTTGCTCCCAAGTGGCAATGAAAGTGAAACATTGTTTCAACCACTCTTGGTCATCATTAGGTAAATTGTCGTCTTTTGTAACGCACCTGTAAAACTACACCAAGAATGTGAAATCTTCCTTTCCTAGGATAGTCTGATGGAGTACCCTGCTAAACAGTATTATAGGTCTCAGTCCATATTTTACATGTTTTGAAAACAAAACCGGCTAAATTTAAAAGTTTTAACAGTATTAGACCAGTTCATACAAAGTGCAGTGTGGCATCAAAGATGTTATACGAGTAAAACCCCCCCTTGGTACTACACCTTTACAGTGATATTCATAGCACTTCCCTTATTTTTATTTATGTCACCAATTTTCCCTGATATTTAATGTCTAGTAGATCTGCCGTGATCCTCTTTGGCTTCAAAGATCATAAAGATTTTACTGACACCAATTCAGATTTTAGTTTTATAGTGTTTTTGATCTTTTTTATTCATTCATTATTTGATTTTAATTTTTAATTTTTTTTTTTTGTAGGAGGAGACATTAAAACAAAGACTGTAGGGTTAACGTGTAAAATATTTGCAGTTAAGATGTTAATAAAGTTTGTTTGGTGCATGTAATTTTTATTTTTCTTGCTTCATGTTTCATTGTATAATATATCACTCAGTTTTGGTCTTGACGCATAAGGTCTTGGTCTTAAACCCTCAGGTCTTGGTCTTTAACAATGAGGTCTCAACTACAACACTGCTGCTAAACCTCAGGTTGTGAAAGAGGGAAGAATTGAATTGAAACAAATTCATCAGGAAATAACATTGAATTTGGAATTAGCTCAGAAATGTCAGTAGTGAGCTTAAAACTGTTAGCAAACACAGTGATTTACTAAGTACATGATACAATGTTATTAAAGACCCATCCTAGATTTTC